CAATTTCCATATCTTAATTCCAGATACCTAGAGAGACCTCAATATCCAATTTGAGGTTTCCAGCTCTATTCTTACACCTATACCAAATTTAGTACTTTTTGTATTAATTATAGCACTTTATTCCGAAACCACCAGCATATATCCAATATCACATTTCAGATTTAAAATACTATATATTAACTCAATAGCAATTTGTACCGAAAATAGTACTATTTTCAAAACCACCTTTCCAGATACTGAAAAAGAGCTCAATATCAAATTTGAGAATTCCAGCCCTATTCCTTCACCAAATGCCAAATTTCGTACCATTTAATTCCTGTCCTACAAATACAGTACATATTTTCGAAAACACCTCTATATGTCCAGGTTAATCATGAACAGAATCGCTAATACCGAATTTCAGATTTCAAGTACTATCTGTTCGCCTAATACCATTTTGTGCCAAATATGGTACTATTTAGTACGTTTCGCGACCTTATAGTACACATTTCCATAACCATATCTTTATTACAAATCGACCACCAACTAAGACCAAAATACAAGATTTCAAAATTCAAACTTCATCTATTCGCCCTAAAGCAAACTTATCCAAATCTTGTAGCTTTAGTATAGTTCGCACCCTTAGTACACATTTCCAAAACCACCTTAATCTATCAAACTTATTTTCCAAATTTGAGTTCCATTTCAAATTTCAAGTTAGCTCTATATGTTGACATAATACCAAATGGTATAATTTTACAGGTTTAGCATCATTTTAGAACCACTTAGAACCCTTGATAGAAAATTGTCCGTGTCTACGTATAGCCCCAATATAACGGTACTCACCCCCACCCCCCCTATATTTGGTATTTTGATGATTTTAGCGACATTATTCACCGATTTTTTTTGTCAAGATTCACATTTGAAAATTGGAATGGATTATGACAAAAGTTGCCTATGCAGGTCCACGTCATCGTATAGACCACTTTCATAATGGCTACATTCGGTATTTTTAAGATTTTAACAAAATTTTTAACGGATTTTTTTTTTTAAATTTGTCAAATTTTTTCCAAATGGTGTGGGGTATTCGAAGATCGTCCAGGCCGAGCTTACTGCTTTTTTATTAGTTTTTATGCCTTACAACACTTTGTGTTTGATTGGGCCATAAATTATGTAACACCTCGAAATACTGATTTCCCACATAGGAAAGTATATATGGATCTTCCTATCTCGCCGAGCTGAGTCGATCAGTCCGTCTGTCCATGTTAATTTGTAATCACTCTACAGGTCGCAATTATGGCCCGATCTTCATGAAATTTAGAATGGAGGTGGGGATAAGGTCAGAATAGAACCCTATTTCTTTTGGATATGATCGCACAATATTTATGAAATAGACCAAAAACTGAAAAAAATCCTGATTTTGCAGTTGCTCTACAAGTCGCAATTATGGACCAATCGATGCGGAAATTAGCATGGGGCTAAATCTTCGGGCTGGACAGAAGCCTTCCGATTTTGATGGTCATCGGGTAATATTTAGTGGGTGAAAAAGACTATAATATTTGTGATAAATAAAAGTCAAATTTCCATTATACCGCGAATATTTTTAGTCCCGGCGAAATCATAAATAGACGAACAGGTCAATTCTGACCGTTACGTAGATGCCGATGGTAAATATATCGGATATGTATAGCGAAATATATACAATGTGTATATACAAAGGAAAGGAATGTTAGATGGAATGCTTATATCTCAAGAATGGCTGGACCGATTTTGACAAATTTTGTCAATTCAGAATGCCCTCTTGACATAAAAAAAAAAAAAATCGCATAAAAATAAGTCAAAAAGAATCTTAATATAGATTTTTTTAGTATTTTGTGACATTTTTTATTTTTACATATTTTTTATCGCATGCGATTTTTTCAATTTGACTTATAATATTAAGGTGTACATTTTGTAATATTTTTCCACCTTACAACACAGGTTTGGGATATTATATACAGATTGCAATTATCGTCCGATTCTCACGAAAAGGGTAGAGTTAGGCTAATAAGGGCTAGGCCAATTGTTTTCAAAGATCTCCGCAAAATATTTAGGGGTTGAAATGGACCAACAACTAAAAATTTTCCTGATTTTACAGCCGTTATAAAGGTCATAAAGAGAGTTTAGGACAGCGTGTAGAATGGACCACTACTTTTGTCTGTAAAATACCAACATTACTTACAGGCGATAGCCGAAATACACAAAATGCGAACTTCTGACGAATATAGCCAAATATCGTAGACAAGAAGATCGTATAGAAGAGTCTAAATTTGGAGATACAGAGGAGCCTCTTGCTTTTGGAGATTATCGCAAAATACGACGGAGTGCGTAAATATTGGGCAAATGTCCCTGGTCAAAATGCTAAGGGTAATATCTGGGCAGTGCTTCGTCACATAATTTCAAAAGCAAAATCTTCCAAAATGGATTTGGACATAAGGGGGCTTTTAACATATTGTAGTGTTGTAGGGTATCACATGGTGTGCCCCGCACGACTATAGCCTTTGCTTACTTGTTTTATATATATTTTTATACCCTCCACCATACTATGGAGGGTATATTAATTTTGTCATTCCGTTTGTAACTCCTCGAAATATTCATGTCAGACCCAACAAAGTATATATATTCTTGATCAGCGTAAAATTCTAAGACGATTTAGCCATGTCCGTCTGTCTGTCTGTGTGTCTGTCTGTCTGTCCGTCTGTCTGTCTGTCTGTCTGTCTGTTGTAATCACGCTATCTTTCGAACAAATTGAGATAGAAGGCTAAAATTTTGCACACATGTATTTTTTCCCAGTAGGCAGGTTAAGTTCGTAAATGGGCCATGTAGGTCCAAGTTATCATATAGCCCCCATATAACGGTACCTCCCGATATTCGGTATTTTGATGATTTTAGCGACATTATTCAACGGAATTATTTCAAATTTGGCATTTGAAGTTCGTAATGGATACTACAGCGTAAGACAGAAAATTATCTCTGCAGGTCCACGTCTTCCTGTAGGCCCCATATAACGGTACCCCCCGATATTCGGTTTTTTGATGATTTTAGCGACATTGTTTACCGGAATCGTTTCAAATTTGGTATTTGAAGTTCGTAATGGATACTACATCCTAAGTCAAAAAATGAGCCATGTAGGTCCACGTCTTCATATAGCGCCCATATACCGTAACCCCCGATATTCGGTATTTTGATGATTTTAGCGACATTATTTAGCGGAATTGTTCCAAATTTGGTATTTGAAGTTCGTAATAGATACTGCAGCATAAAACAGAAAATGGGTCATGTAGGTTCACGTCTTCATATAACCCTCATATAACGGTACCCCCCGATATTCGGTATTTTAATGATTTTAGCGACGTTATTTACCGGGATTGTTTCAAATTTCGTATGTGAAGTTCGTAATGGATACTTCAGCCCATGCCAGAAAATTGTCTGTGCAAGTCCACGTCTTCGTATAGCCCCCATATAACGGTACCCCCCATATTCGGTATTTTGACCATTTTAGCGACTTTATAAACAGATTTTTCTTCAAGTTTCGCATTTAAATATTGTAATAATTTATGACAAAAGTTGCCCTTGCAGGCCCACGTCGTCGTATAAACATTCGGTATTTTTAAGATTCTAACAAAATTTTTAACGGGTTTTATTTTTTGGAAATTGCCAAATTTGTACCAAATGGTGGAGGGTATTAAAAGTTCGGCCCGGCCGAACTTACAGCTTTTTTACTTGTTTATTATACCCTCTACCTTCGAAAGGAGGGTGTATTAACTTTGTCATTCCGTTTGTAACATCCTTAAATATTCGTCGTGGACCCCATTAAGTATATATATATTCATAATCAGCATAAAATTCTAAGTCGATATAACGATGTCCGTCCGTCTGTCTGTCTGTTGAAATCACGATACAGCCCACATTATTTGACGTAGAGCGCCAAAATTTAGCAGAGCAATTTGTATTGTGTCTAGGATGGTTGGTATTGAAAATGAGATATATCGGTCCACGTTTTGGTATAGCCCCCATATAACGGTACCTCCCGATATTCGATATGTTGATGTTTTTTGCTACATTTTTTCCCTGATTTGTCTAAAAATTGGTATTTGTGTTTCATAATGGGTACTAGTTAGTGTGGCGAAACATTGTAATTATAGGTCCACGTTTTGGTATAGCCCCCATAAAACGGTACCTCCCGATGTTCTGTAACTTGATGATTTTTGCCACATTTTTTCATGGATATGTCTGAAAATTGGTATTTGTAGGTCATAATGGGTTCTAGCTCCTTTGGCGAAACATTGCATGCATGGGTCCATGATTTGATATAGCCCCCATATAAGGGTACCTCCCGATATTCGGTATTTTGATGGTTTTTGCCACATTTTTCACTGATTTGTCTAAAAATTGGTATTTGTGGGTCATAATGGGTCCTAGCTCGTGTGGCGAAACATTGTAATTATAGGTCCTCGTTTGGGTGTAGCCCCCATATAACGGTATCTCCCGATATTCGGCATTTTAATGGTTTTTGCCACATTTCTTCTAATGTTTCCTTTACCCTAAGGTGCAGGGTATTTAAAGTTTGGCCCGGCCGAACTTAATATTTTTTACTTGTTTTTATTGCCAAATTAATCCACGTCCATTGTTATTTGTCATTTATTTTTATTTATTTTATGGAAAATTTGAGATAATATGAAATTTTGTACGAAACTGCAATTGATAAAAAATATATGTTTTATTTATGAATAAAAATCACTGTTATTCAATTATTTTTTGGTACTTATTATTTTTATATATTTTCGATGCGAAATTCATTGTCAAATTACATTCACTTTTTATTGTATTTTTTCCTTTGGGATTGTGACTTAATTCGATTTTTTGTATTAATTAATAAATTATTTTTTTTTATATTTTTTATTTCCTATTTTTTATTTTTTACTATTTTCCCACAGTTTTTGCATTATATAAAATTATTATATTTTTAATAAATAACTCACATGTGTATTAATATCAACTCGATGGTATTCCAAATGTTGCCGTTTTGTTATTTATTAGTTTAAGTTAAATTTATTATTTATTATTTTTTTAATATTTTTTGATGGCCATATAACAATATATCTTTATCTCTGAACTGAGAAATTTTTATAACACCTTACAATTTTATATATTTTTTTATTTATAAATATATTTTTTTTTTTTCATTGGCCATCAATAAACTCTCGAGAAAATAAAACACACACACACTCTCATTTCACTTCACTGCACCGCACTTGAAAAATTGTCACCTAAAATACGGCCGTTAACAAAAACCCAAAGACAGACGAAAAACAAAATGATAAGCTTTTCAATTTTCGATAAGTATTCTCAACCAAAAACAAAACACCTCCAGAATGATAAATTTCAAATCAAATATTATTTCTTTCCCATTATAGGTATTTTTGTTTTATTATTTATTAATATTTCTTTCTTTTTTTGACTTTTTTCACTTCTTGGACCCATTCATTATTATTACTTAATACTGATTTCAACTACCAGCCCAGTCAGCCGGGCAGCCGACAATATTTGCTATGTTGTAGTTGTTAGTTATTTTTATTATTTCTTGCCATTAAAATTTCTTGTTGCCGGCATAAAATTGAGCAGCGCACTTTTTTATTTGTTTTTCTATTTTAGCGCCACGCTTCGATTGATACGCGTTTATTTAAACAATTCGAACGGAAAAGACGAAACGACGACGACGACGACAACAACCGTTCTTAGAGGTTTACAAGAAACAACTGTTTCATGCGTTTTGGCCAAAACAACGGCAAAGGGTTCTGAAGCTTCGTTGTTGACGATGATGACGACTAGCACAGCAACAAAAGAACAGCCAACAACAGTTCTTCACCCTCCAGCAGAGTAGCCGAGGCAGTGTTAATAGATAAGGCGAAAATTGTTTAACAGAAAAGCAATTTATGTTAGTTAACAGTTATGGTGATAACATTGCCAGGGCATGTTAAAGGTGAGTAGGGAAAATGTTAAGAGTAATGTTAACAACATATGTTAGGCTGTTTAAAGCTCTCCTCGTATTCTGTTAACGAAAATCCAAAGAAATGTAATAAACTGTTATACCTTACATTAACATGTTCGTCAAAAAAAAAAAAAAAAAAAAAAAAAAAAAAAAAAAAAAAAAAAAAAAAAAAAAAATATGTAACGGTTGTACTCTTTTAAAAAAGGGCGTTTTTCTAAAAATATGCAGGGTGAGATAAAAAAAATCAGCAACAAAGACAAATGCCATAATTTTTACATTTTTTAAAATTTTTTTCAATGAAAAAAATGTCGGAAATATCATCAAATTTTAGAATAAGTTTAGATTTGATCGAATTGGTCACGTTTGGCACGAATTATGGCCTTCAAACGGCTAATGAAACCGTCACACGCTGCCCGAATGTTGCTCTGCGGTATTTTGGCCCATTTCCGGTGAAGCCCTTGCTTGATGTGATCGACACTTTGGTATTTTTTTAATGACAACCTTGCTATCCAAAATACTCCAGACCAAAATAGTCCAGCGTATTGGTATCTGGAGATTTTGGTGGCCATTGTGTGCTGGAAATGAAGCGAGAAACCTCATTTTGTAAGAATTCTTGGATGGCGCATGCTGAGTACGATGGTGCTGAGACCTGTTGGAATGTCCAAGGTCTGCGACCAAAATGTTTGCGTGCCCAAGGCTTTCATACAACCTCCAGAATATTTTTGCGATAATATGCGGCATTTATTCTGATAAGAATACGAATCCTGAAGTTCATAAAACAGCTGGAGAATAAGTGAATTGAGTTCCGTATAATAAGTCAATTGAGTTCCACGGTTGATAAATACGAGCGGAGAGTGACCATCGGCTGTTAGGGCGGCCCACACCATCACCATGGCCGGCGCTTGAATTCTGGTGCACGGCCAACCGAAGGGGCACATTTTCAGCTGACCTCTTTGGCAAATAAGCACGATCATTTTGTTTGTTTACAAACTGCTGGACTGTTTTATCATTGGAGAGAGAGAGTGAAAACCAAATTCGGCAGTTCACCACTTTCGGCCAAGCAAAGCAACTCTTTAGCTCTTTTGAGTTTATTTTCTTTCTGTTGCGGTGCGGTGTAAGTTATTGCACTTTTTGGAATTTCAATGGCTTTACCCCGAGCTCATTTTTCAATATTTGCCGAATGGAATATTGCGATATGTTCAGCTCATAGCTATTTTTCGGGAACTACAACACGTATCTCGATCAAGTCGCTTCTTTACTTTTAGAACCATTTCTGCTGATGTTGCTGTATTCTTCCCTCCACTTCCTTGATGTCGGGCTACGCTACCAGTATCACCGTAACGAGCTGGAGTGCTCTAACGATAGCTACCAAATATAAAGAAATCACACTATTACGCTTGAATTCCGTCACGAAGACCTATTTTTCTGGAAAATTCTCACCAAAATGCTTTTGTACGCTTGTAAGCAATATAATGAGCTGTCACTGGAGTAACATTAACAGCTGTTGGACGAGTGGCTTAGAAATGGCAGCAGTCTGAAGTTTTTTAATCTCAAACTGTATTTATTAAAAAACTTTAACAAACGTGGATTTTTTAAAAAAAAGGACTACAACAAACGTGAATTTTTAAAAAATATTTATTTCAAGGGCTATGACAAACGTGGATTCTTTAAAAATGTTTATTTCAAGGACTATAATAGTTGTGATTTTTTTTTAAATATTTATTTCAAAGACTATAACAGATGAGGATTTTTTAAAAATATTTTTCAAAGGACTATAACAAACGGGGGGCTTGAAAAATATTTTGTCAAAGTCTAGAACAAATCGTGGATTTTTCAAAAAATATTTATTTCAAGGACTATAACGAACGTGGATTTTTTAAAAATATTAATTGAAAGAACTATAATAAACGTGGATTTTTTAAAATTATTTATTTTAAGGACTATAACAAACGTGGATTTTTTAAAAATATTTATTTCAAGGACTATAACTAACATGGATTTTTTAAAAATATTTATCTCAAGGACTCTAACAAAGTAGGATTTTTTATAAAAATATTCATTTCAAGGACTATAACAAACGTGGATTTTATAAAAATGTTTATTTCAAGGACTATAACAAACGTGGATTTTTTAAAAATATTTATTTCAAGGACTATAGCAAACGTGGATATTTAAAAAAAATAAATTTTCAAGGAATATAACAAACGTGGATTTTTTAAAAACGTTTATGACCAACTTAAATTTTTAAAAGTATTTATTTCAAGGACTATAACCAATGTGGATTTTTTAACAATATTTTTCCAATGTCTATAACAAAAGTGGATTTCTTTTAAAATATTTTTCAAAGGACTATAAGAAACGTGGATTTAAAAAAAAATATTTACTATTAGGACTATAACAAATGTGGATATTTTAAAAATATTTATTTCAAGGACTATAACAAACGTGGGTTTTTAAAACCTTTTATTTCAAGGATTATAACAAACGTGGATTTTTTAAAATTATTTTTCCAAGTACTTTAATGAACGTGGAGTTTTTAAAAATATTTATTTCAATTTATGGATTTTTTAACAATATTTATTTCGAAGTCTAGTACAAACGTGAATTAAAAAAAAAAAAAACATTTTTCCAAGGATTATAACAAACGGGTATTTTTTTGGAAAATAATTATTTTCAGGGAAAATAATGTACTAGAATTTTTTTTTTAAATATTTTTCCAAGGATCATAATAAACGAGGGTTTTAAAAATATTTTTAAAAGCGTTTGAATTTTAAAAATATTTTTTTTTAATATTTTTCCAAGGACTTTAACAGGGTAGATTTTTTACTATTTTTTAAACTATTTCTCCAAGGACTATATTAAACGTGTTTTTCTTGCATTATTTTAGAAGGTCTTTTATGAACCGGGATTTAAAAAAAATCCAAAGACTTTAATAAATGTGGGTGTTTTTGAATTAAATAATATCGTATATTTTTTAAAAATTCAAAAAGATTAAAGATAAAGATTCTGTAAAAGTGAATTTAAAAATAAAAAAGGACACCAAAAAAATTGTGTTAAAAAATCAATTTCAAAAATGTCCTTTGAATGCAACATTCCTAAAATATATTGTGTCTTCGCCAATATTACTGACAACAATAGAAGGTCTATTTCATAATTTCTCTTTCGACTTGAGCTATCAAAGACCTTCGTTTGAGCATCAAGTTTGGAAAGAAAGTTTTAGTGTTTGAACTGTACTAAATGGTATTAAATTTGGTTCAAGGTGAATGAATGCAGCTGGAATTTTTCAAATTTTGTACTGGGGTTTCTGTCGATGGTGGTAGGTTTGTGATAAAAATGTGATTTTTTGAAATATGTACTACAAGTGCGCAAAAAGTACTAAAAAAGTACTGGTACAAATTGGTATTGGCTGAAGATATAGTGCTTGAAATCTGAAACTTGGTATTAGGGTCGCCGTTCATGTATAGTCTGGACATATGCAGGGGAAATGTGTACTATAAATGTGTACTATAAGTGTACGAAAAATACTAAATGGTACATATTTGGTATTGGGTGAAGAAATAGAGATAATTGTACGAAAAGTACAAACTGGTACTAAATTTGGTATTTTGTGAAGGGATAGCGCAGGTATCCTTAAATTTGGTTTTGAAGTCTCTATTGGTATTTGGAATTGAAATATGGAGGGGGTCTTGGAGATGTTATAACTGTAACGAAAAAGTCAAAAACATCACAAAATTTGGTATTGGGTTAAGGAATAGAGCTGAAATCCTGAAATTCAATATGGATTTCACTGTTTGTGTCTATGGTTTAGATGTAGAAGTAGTTTTGGAAGTACTAAGTGGTACTAGTGAAGAGATAGAGCTGTAATCCCGTATCAGGAATTTCTATATTAGAAGAGGAAATTATATTTATACGTTAAAGCCTGTTAATTTTACAAGTTTTTAATCTGAAATCAGCATCAAAGTATCAAAGCAGGAAATATTCTGTATTAAATTTCATTATGTGACCTTGAAAATATTTTTATTTTTTTTTGAGAATTTAAGTACTATTTCCGCCCATCTGGATCTGAAAACTTTCAAATTTATTTGATAGTATTCCATTTGTAAATAACTACTGTCTAATCCTAAATCTACTGATATTTCAATACACAATGAACATTGCATCATCCAATGAAATTCAAAAATATAAACTTCAAACTTAATTATTATTTATTCAAATACTAATTTTTCAAACTAATCAGTAACAAAGTGATTAACAGCCTAAGGCATCATTTGCTATTAATAATAGCAATAACAACAAAAAACCAATAACGAGAATCACATCCATTCACAACAACATCTAATATAAATATTTTACGAATTTTATTGGAAAGCATATTTACACAGGACCCAACAAATATTATTCACAATTATTGGAAATTTAAACAGCAAGGCAAATATTTAAAAATTGCTTTTATTTGCTTTTGAGTATTCTTCAAACACAAAATCTATGCTCATAACTATTTTATCGATTAACGAATATTGAAGGAGATTTATTATTTGGTTTCATTATTGTAAAAGTTTATGCAAATTGCCGGATATTACTGTTGGATTTAATCTGGTTGTGGAGGAAGTAATTATAATTTGTTAGATTTTTTATTTGTTTTAAAGTTTTCCTCCTACACAGTATAAGTAAAATTGCAAAGTTTTTTATGGCACAGGCATCAATGATATTTGAATGTAAAGTGGGACAACTTTTTATAGGGTTAGAAATATTCAAGACTTATGAAAAGCAGACGATTTTCTTAGGGAAGGCAAGGTCTTCTCATAAAAGACCGGAAGGTCTCATAATAGAAGACAAGAAGGTCTTCTTACAGAAGACGTGGTGTTCTTCTTACAAAAGACTTGAAGTTCTTCTTATAGAAGACTTGAAGGTCTACTTATATAAGACGTAAAGGTCTTCGTATAAAAGACCAGAAGAAGGTCTTCGTGTAGAAGGCCAGGAAGGTA